CCCCCCCCTACAGTGAAAACCCCTAAAAAAAAAAAAAAAAAAAGAAGCAGAATCCATGTCTTTGTGTAATTTATATTCAACTGAGAGAAAGACAGTAGCAGTGAACTATAATAATCAAAAGCCTATATTTTTGTCTACATAGTATAAATAGTAAACTGCCTAAAATACAAGGCACACTTATTAAGGATATGTAATATAGTCCAAGGATTCAAGAAAAGATAACGTAAGTAAATGACAATTCATTTAATAAAGTGAAGAAATAATCAGGCAGAGGAAACATTTAATGAAAAGTCCCCAGAGTGAGAAAAGGACAATGAGCTGGAGAAATTAAAAGGTGGCTAGTGTGGTAAGTATAAAAATTAAATGAACATAATTAAATGGTGATAAAGCTGTTGAGCTTGGCCAGAAATAGTTCATGCACATTCTTACCAAAGCTGTTCATTTTTATACTCATAATAAGGGAAGCTCTTGAATAGTTTTAAGTAGAGAAGGGAACTACTATATTTACACTATATATTTTTAAGATTTATTTAGCCTGCCTTGAAGAGAATGGAATAAAGAGTGGGCCGCGGGTCAGCCGACCCAAGGGGCCCTCTATCTAAGTAAGGCCACTCGCCAGGGCCTCGGAGTGACCGCTGCCATGGCTAGCCAGTCGTAGGGGATCAGCAGTTGCTGCAGGCCGAGAAGCCGGCCAGCAGTTGCTGCAGGCCGAGAAGCGGGCCGCTGAGAAGGTGTCTGAGGCCCGCAAGCAAAAGAACCAGAGACTGAAGCAAGCCAAAGCAGCTCAGGCTGAAACTGAACAGTACCGACTGCAGAGGGAGAAAGAATTCAAGGCCAAAGAAGCCGCAGTTCTGGGATCCCACAGTAGTTGCAGCACTGAAGTGGAGAAGGAGACCCAGGAGAAGATGACCATCCTCCAAAACTACTTCCTACAGAACAGGAATGAAGTCTTGGATAACCTGTTGACTCTTGTGTGCGACATTCAGCCAGAAATCCATGAAAACTACCACATAAATGGATAGGAGACGAATGAAGCACCTGTCCCATGGACTGGCATCTTAGATGCCCTCATGGAAGATGAAGCATTATGGAGCTCCAGTTATATTCTTGGGAAAAGCATTAAATTATTTCTGTATATATATAGCAGGTCCTTTCACTTTTTGTAGAGTAGCAAATCTAGCTTCTTTGTACAGACTTAGAACTTATCCAAAGAATTCATCTTTTTACCTCATATTTCATAGAAATTAAATGAGTGTATGTTGTTTTGCTAAGCCTTTAGCTCAAGCAACACATATGTCAATGTTAACTTTTTTGTGTTTTAGATCTAGTAAAAAAGGAAATTCTTTGAAGAAAGAAAGGGATTAATTTTTTTTCCCTAGTGCTTTCTTGAAGGTCAGGGGGTTTATCTATGAAAAAGTAGTGAGTAGTTACTTGTAATCTGTGTGAAACAGCAGCCAGCCTTAACGTAGTCCTTTCTGGCTAAAGGATAGAACAGAGACTACTAGTGTAATTGTTTGGACTGCCTTTAGTTTCTTTTAATCAAATAGTAGATAGAATTCACAAACTTGTTTCATGTTATTACTTTGTGTACTGATATCCTTTAAAAGTAAAAGATTCTTGTCATAAAAGAAAATGGAATAAAGTGAGCAAGAGACTTTTTAACACTTTGCATTAGATATGGTAATAACTTAGCCTAGGTGGGTGGCAAACAACAGCAGGTAATACCAGAATGGTGGCAGGGAAGATGCATGGATTCATGATAGTTAGGAGGTAAACCTAACAAGAGGAGATGAGCTAGATATAGGGAGAATGATGTGCTGAGGTGGCACCTACATGGGTAGGTCATGGAAGGGAGAAGCACTTAGAGAAGGACAAGGTTTGGGGCTGGTTTAACCTGAGCAAGTGGCTGTGTAGAGAAAATCATGAATTCAATCACAGATATGGTGAGTATGTAAAGCTTCTATGTCAGCTAAGTCATTAGCAGTTATTGTATATATGTCTCAAGGGTCAAGACCAAAAAGCAATGGTCACAATCAAGAGACTTTAGGAGATAGTAAATATTTTCCAGAAATGAAGTAGAGAGTTTGAAGAGAAAAGGCTTTAGGCCTAGTCTTGGTGAACTCCACCATTTTAAGGTTTGATAGAAGATGAACCAGCAAAAGATGTGGGAAATTAATGGGAGAAAATTAAGAAGAAAATTTGGAGACTGGTATCCTGAGCACCACTGGAAGGGAAGGAAGTGTCTAATGCTCCTGGAAGATCAATAAGATTAAGTTGTAAAGTCTCCCTGGATCTATAAACAAGGAGGAATAATTCAATGGATGGTGGAAGCCAAACCATGGTATTCAACAGAGTTGATGAGTTCTCTGGAAGTAAGAAATGGAAAGAGGCAGGTCATTACTTGGCATGCAATATGAGAGTGGATTGAATGTACCAAGAATTTTTTTCCTTTTATCTATGCTATTCTTCTGTATGAAATAATCTTTCTTTCTGTTTTTTGTTTGTTAGTTGGTTGGTTATTTGTTTTTAGCCAAGGATTTATGTGTTTTCCAGAGAATAAAAGAGAAAGCACCGTACTCCCATGGGGCATGATCACACTATAATTTGTTTTCCTCCATTTCCCCAACTCCTCAGGATTTGGGGCATAAATACACAAGCATCCAGTGTGGTTTTGAAGTTCTAAGAGACAAAATTGTAACCATGGTTAGCTATTTTGGATCCAACTCCTTATGCACAGTGATTAACCACTTTACTATAGGACTACCTTCCTCCCCCTTTCTTTCTTGAGTCAGTCCAACATCTTTTAAAGTCCAGTTTAAATAGGACCACTGCCATGAAGCCTTTCTTTGCCTCCTTAAGAGTATGGATTCTGTCTCATCATGAGCGCTTTCTTAGTATTTAGTATAACTCAAGTATTTGACTATATGTACATAAAATAATAATGAAGCTTGGATTTTGGAATAAGGCAAACCTGAATGTGAATGCCTGGTTGATTCCTTACTATGTGACCTTTGAAGGTTTACTTTTTACATTGTCTTTTGTATCTTAGTTTTCTCATGAGAAAAATAGTGAAAAGGTAATAATAATAGACCTGCCCCAATGAGTTTCTATGAGTACTAAGTTACATAATACATAAAATTATCTCCTGAAGTAACTGACATTGAAAGAGTCAGTATTTTAGCCATTACATCCCTTGCTTTTGAATTATACATCTGAGCAGTGTTTGTCTCAGTTTCCTTCTCCTTTCTATCTGATCCACATCCCCATAGCATTTGGTGGATATTCACATTACAACATCAGAATGTCATAATGCTGGCTGTCTTTCCCCAGGACTGCTCATGTCTAATGGTCAGATATGGAAGGAGCAAAGAAGGTTCACCCTGATGACACTCCGGAACTTTGGTTTAGGAAAAAAGAGCCTAGAAGAACGCATTCAGGAGGAGGCCTGCTACCTCGCTGAAGCAATGAAAGAAGAGAATGGTGAGGATTTCATAGGATAGAGCATGAGACTGTCCTGTTGGTTGATCAGATTGATTGATTCATTCATAGTTATTAAGTGCCTAAGTGTTTGTCCTTTTTCCAGCTCTGGGCAGACACTGAGGGTAGATCAGTGAAAAACTAAGCAAGTCCCTCCCTTCAGTTTGCAAATAGGTACAATTTAACTTCATCCTTTTCATTTTGGATGTTTCATATTTCATTTTCTTATCTGATTGCATTGGCCTGAACTTTCAATACTGTGTAGTGAAAAAAGGCATCATTGTGTTGTTTCAGTTTTGAGAAGAAAACTTTCAAGTTCTCAAATTAAGCACACAAAGGTGGACATTAAAAAGATTATTGAATTTAAGCTGGAATAATCAGTTCAATTTCCCTGGGAATGACTGATTACTTGCTATATTTCAGGCCTTATGGATAGTACTGTGTCCAGAACTTCATGTATGCTTCTGTCATAGGGATGTCTTATGTCATAGAGTAGAACCTAGCTATTAAATAGAGACAAACTAATCTGAAGGATCCATCTCCTTCCACCTCCAGGACAGCCCTTTGACCCTCACTTCAAGATCAACAATGCAGTTTCCAATATAATTTGCTCCATCATTTTTGGGGAGCGCTTTGAGTACCAGGATAGTCAGTTTCAGGAGCTACTGAAGCTACTGGATGAAGCCTCACATCTAGAGGCTTCACTTCTGTGCCAGGTAAGGTATATTTATTCCGTATCTTTGTTAAGGATAATGTGACCAATGTCAGCCAGAAATGGCTTTTCCTTTTTAATTTTTATGTTTTTTTCAAGCTAACCATATGCTACAGACTTCTTTTAAAATTTTTCTACAATGTATGTGTACTCTCCAGAGAAAGAGAGAGGGAAAGAAAGAGAGAGGAAAAATGAGAAAGTATCCCACTGTGGGAGGTGGCCACATCATAATCCCTACTTTTCCATTTCTTTTTGAGTTGTGGGGCACACACGCACACATATCGAGTGTGTTTTTCAAGTCACTGGTCCAGGATACAAACCATGCTGTCAGGTGGGATCCAGTTGTCTTAATAACCACACCACCAGCTGGCCCGATGCTACAAATTTTTAAATATTCACTTTGTATCTTCCAATTTGCTGAATTTGTTCATCACTTCTAAGAGTTTTCTTGTGGATTCCTTAGTTTTTTTAAATTACATGATTGTAATTTGCAAATAGGTACAATGTAATATTTTTCTTTCCATTTTGTATGTTTCTTATTTTCTTATCTGATTGCACTGGCTAAAACTTTTAGTACTGTGTTTAATAGGAATGAAGAAAGGGAACATCATTGTGTTTCAGTTTTGAGAGGAAAAGCTTTCATATTTTTCCCTTTGAGTGTGATGTTGACTGTGGTTTTTTCATGTCGGTTCTTCATTATGTTAAAAATATCCCTTACATAACTATTTTGCTCAGAGTCTTGATCACGAAGAAATGTTGAAATTCATCAAATGCTTTTTCATTTAATATGATCATATGATTTTTATCTTTCCTTCTGTTAATGTCATGTATTAAATTGGTTTTATGTAAATTGAACCACCCTTGTATCCCCAGGATAAATCCTACTTTCTTGTAAAGTTTAATATTTTTAGTGTCTTTGGATTTACTTCATCAGTATAGTATTAAATATTTTTGCATCTGTATTTATCATGGATTTGATTGGTAGTATTATTTTATAGTTGTGTCCTTGTCTGCTTTAAATATCATTTTATGGTGGCTTCATAAAATGAGTTTTGGAGGTATCCCTCCATTTGGATCTTTTGAAAATGTTTGAAGGGAAATGGTGTTTATTTTTCCTTAAAAGATTTCTATAATTCAACAGTCAAGCCTTCTGAATTTTGTTTTTTTTTCTTATGTTCTGATTTATTACTGATTCAGTCTCGTTATTTGTTACTGAATTATTTAGGCTTTTGGTATCTTCCTGATTCAATCTAGGTAGGTGATATGTTTCCAGAATGGTATCCATATGTTCTAGGTTTCCCAGTTTATTGACATATATTTGCTCTTAGTAATCCCTCATGATATTTGGTATTTTATGATATTCATTGTAACTTCCCCAGGTTTCTGATGTATTTACCTAAGTGTTATCATTCTTTTTGTTAAGCAATCTAGTTAATTATTTATCAGTATTATTTATCTTCTCAAAGAACTAGCTTTTTATTTCATTGATTTTTTTAAATTAGTAGTGAGTTTTACAGCTTCGCATATCTCCAGGATGCTATTTATCTTTGAGTGAAACCTTTTTTGAGTATCATGCTTTGGGTTAAAACTGTTTTCACTTAGGGCCTGTAGATGACATAGAGAATAGATAGCTGGAGCTTCCACATGAGCAACTGTGGTTCAATTCCTGGATCTAGTGGCTTGAAAATCTCATTGGGCACATATTCATGATGTCCAAGATCCCAGGAAAAGAATGGAGAAGTACTGTGGCATGACTACTCCCCTAGGGGATGATTTTTCACTTTCCCTCTTACAGTCTCTGTCTCTCTGTCTCTCTCCAGTGAGTGGACATGCCTTAAGACAAAACCTCTAAAAAAAATAAAACACATAAAAACGTTTCCCTTCCTAATTCGGACTATAGCTCCTCATTTTCCCCGGACCTGTAAGGTTTCTTCTAAGAGTCTGAAGTCGGCCTAACGAAGTATCCTTTATAGGTAACTTGACCCTTATCTCTAGCCACTTTTAGGATTTTCTCTTTTTTTTATTTCTTTTCATTTTGAAGAGGTTTTCGCTATAGGGCGCGTGAGCTCGCCAGACAGAGAGAGACAGAGAGACAGAAAGCGAGAAATCACCCCCCAGGGGGATGGCCATGCCTCAATCCCTTCTCCTCCATTCTCCTCTTGGGATCTTGGGTACGCACGCACACGCGCCCGGCGTGAGTTTTAAGCCACCGGGTCCGGGATGCGAACTGCGGTCTACTGCATAGGAGTCCAGTGACATAGCCATTACGTTAACTGCTGGTCCCAGGGATTCAGCTTTATCTTTGACAAAGATCTTATATTGAATCTATTTGGCACCCTTTGTATGTCCTGGATCCAGATGTCTGTGTCTTTATTGAGGTTTGGATAGTTTCAGTTTATATTTCATTAAATAGATTGTCTTGCCTTTTCTTATTTATTTTCCTTCTGGGATATTAATTGCATGGATATTCAGTGTCTCATCATATAGCATAGTTCACCCGCGATCTCTTCATTTTAAATGGCTTTTTCTTTCTTTTTGATAGTTTGGACCATTTCGGAAGTTGCATCCTCAAGTTCAGATAGTCTCTCTTCTGCATGGTCCAACCTGTTGCTGATGTACTATACGGATATTTTGTATGTTTTTAGTTCTTCATCACCAAGATTTCTGTTTGATTCTTTTAGAAGATGTTTCTCTCTCTTTTGACTCTTTCTTCCATGTCATTTTAAAAGATGTATATCTTTCTTTTGACTTTCTCTTCCATGTCATATATTGTTTTCCAAATTGTTTGTGCTATCTTATATATCTTAGTTTTGTTGTCATCAATATTGTAAAATCCATTTTCAGTTTTGCTGTGATTTCCTGCATTGTGTCTGTTACTAGTGTGGAGTTAGTGCATTTCTTGAGGACAAATAGTTCTTTACCATTTCATGTTTTTTATATAATTGCATTGATTCTTTTTTTTTTTTTCTTGGAGAGGTTTTTTTTTTTTTTTCTTTTTGCTATAGGGTACGTGCACTCGCCAGACAGACAGAGACAGAGAGACAGAAAGCGAGAAATCATCCCCAGGG